GGGTTTATATAAGGCGAACTGAGAGAACAGTAATAAGATGTTTGTTTACAAATTTTGTTTGCCGATCGGTGACCGCTTAGTTAGCGTGGATACGACCTCGTAAAAATACACGTTGGTAAATGTTTGTTTCAAAGCAGGACAGGGCTGTAAATTTTATTCTTATCGGCTGCAACATATATCTGAGGAGTAGCAAAGAATAAACTTGAATTATGGGGATAAATAAAATCAAACCAAATGCCCGGAAATACTCTCGCGTCGCGAACAATTAATTTGAATTTTGTAAATTTACTTGCGTGCATTTAACTCGCTTCCGATTGGTTGAAAAACAATCAGCTACTGTCAGAACTGACACATGCGCATTATCGTGAAACAGTCCCTTTAACCATGGGTTAAATTTCTTCTAACCATGCTTTAAATTTAACGTACCTCGCTACTAGTGTTAACTTGTTAACCATCGGTTAAAATGACGTTCGCTTCATTTTGTTAGTGGTTGTGTTAATATAGACTTTGATTTCAGTACTGCTTGATTTTCTTCAAACCTTTGAGCTATTACCGCAATTTCTTGCGCTGAAAAATTTTGTTTTCGTTTCCTGCAGGCGGTTTTATTGACAGCAGGGATTTCAACAGTTTCAAGCTCAAGCAAAGAATTTTCGGCATCCATTTTACTGTTAAAAGTGAACAGAATGTGGTAAAAAGGGAGCTTTATCATCTATGATGGCGAGGGCAGCGAAAACGTCACTTTTAAACGTGAATTCGCGCTTTTTCATACTTCATCGCGTTTATTCCAATTCGCGGAAAATGTCGAATGCAGGAGAATTTCCCTGGAATTGATTTTTTGGAGACTGCACTTAAGTTTAGAGAGAGAAAGAAAAGTTCGTCGTCGCTTGTTAACGTCCTCCGTAAAAAATGAAATTAGGCATTTTCACATCGTAATCGTGCAGTGACGGCAAAGAAATGTACAAGAAAGCGTGATGCACGTACAAAGTTGTTGTTTTGCTAATCTAAACCTATCCTTTTCTTGACGTTCTCGTTATCGTCGCCGTCGTCGTTGCTGTTAAAATCTCACTAAAAACTTTGGAGGGAAAAACTTGTTAAACCTGTTCGGAGATGGTTAAAGTCTGGTATATTTTATTTAACAATTGGTTAGCTAACAAAGGCTAAGCGTCAACTTAACAGACCTTCGAGCAACGGGAATCTAACCAACAGTTGTAGTTAACCAACTATTAGCAAATTTAACCAACCGTTACAAACTAAGATATGGTTAAATTAACCATCTTTTGAGCTGAGTAGCTGGGGCCTGGTTGGTGGTAATTGACAACAGCAAACTCATGCGTCCAGCCGGCTGTTCAGAGCGTGGGCTCATTTGACAAACTGCGGCTGGTA